ATTTTCAGAAGTTGGCGTTAACTTGCAAGTTTTGTGTTTAAAAAATCTGATATTATTGTCTGTTTAGGTATATAATGCAAAACTTCGCTTATCAACGACGATGAATGTAAGAAAAATGAAAAAGGTACAAGTTACCGCAATTGAAAGAAATCAATCGTGTGTCCGATTCGCACTTTGTTCGTAGTGATAGATTTTGTTTTAAAACAGATGTAGTCTCTTAAAATTAAAATTAACGCAGGTGCTAGGTTTAATAATGTGTTTGTTAAATAACTTTTAGACGGTTTGTAATTTTGATATATGAAATTTAACAATACACCCTTTCCTGCATTTGATTGATTGAAAAAAGAGGAAGTTATTAATAAAGGTATTTTTACTATATAACCTCAAAGTACGATTTACATTTTTCTTTCCAATTTCTTTATGAACAGTTCCAAACACTTCTCTGTAGTTTAGATTTTAAAAGTAAAATTGATTTAACACAGTGATTATACATTAAGCACAGAAACAAGGATAATTACACTTACAATGCTTTGTTTTGAAAGAAAATATGAAAGCGTCAATTGCAAACGGAAAAAATCTAGGGGCATACTATATCAGTTACGTGAAAAACCAACAAAGGACAGCATATCGTAAACAATCCTTACAAAAAGCGACACGAACCTAACAGAAAAACAGCGAAAAGGGGGGGGGGAAGCTTATTCATGTGGTCCGGTTTGGGCTGGTGCAAGATAACCACCTAGTCAAGGTCAATTTCGATAAACAATGAAGGAAAATACAACAAAATGGAGGAGGCCTTCCTCATACGGGAACATGATGAATAAACATGTATAAAACATATGAGGGGGAACAAAACAAAAGAAGTTTAATTACTTGCACGCCTGTTCTTATTTCATTTGTGCTCATTCATACGATTTGATATATTGTTGTATTTGAAATAGAATCGACTGCGGTGCATTTGATATGGTTGGACCTTCTCTGCAACTTGAACCTGTCTTCAATTCTGAGCTTCGTGTGTTTTTCATTTAGTTTTCTCTCATTCGCCTAATAAGAAATAAGAACCCAGAGGGAATAAGGAAATAAAAGATAGGATAATATTAATACAATTTATCCAAAACAATTTACACACTTGCTCAAAATAAATCTTAACAAACATTTTTATTTCTTTGCTATTTCACCGGCTTTGATACGTTAAACAATGTTTAAAGTAAGATATAAGCCTCTAGCAGTTCATTCTGTAAAATATTGAACAGGTCATCGGCCTACAGAATGGACTATTTTCGGCTTATATCCTCTACAAACAGACTTTATACAGGAGCTTCTAAAGCTAGTGTTAACATTGTTGTATAATTTCACGTTCTGCTATATATTTTACAACTACAACGCATGAATTACTTACCGCAGGCAGCAGAGCTCTAGTATCACTAACTTCAAAATACTACAATATGGGAAACATGGACTATAATACTAAGACCAAAATCTATGACAGTACAGTGTTGCCGATACTTGAATACGCATCTGCTGTATGGGGATTTAAGAAGTACAATCCGCTAGAAAGATTACAGTACAGAGCCATACGGACATTTTTGGGAGTTGGCAAGCGCTCCTATCCCGGCTATCATAGGAGATACATGCTGGACTCCTATACACATTAAAACTCAATGTAACATGATAAAACTATGGTGTCAATTGTGTGAAATACCTGACTATAGGCTGTGTCGCAAAGCTTTTATGTGGGATTTGAACATTTCCAACAGATATATAAGAACATGGAGTAATGATGTAAAAACAATAATGACTAAATGTAATCTACTAGATGTGTATACCAACCTTAACTCAGATCGACGATCAACGACGCATATCATATCTTGTGTTAAGGACAAACTCGTTGGACTGCTTCAACATGAGTGGTTAAATGCGTTAGAAGATACGCCTAAATTACGCACTTACAAAAACATTAAAACTGACTACAAGGTAGAGCCATACTTGAAAAAATGTTTGTCAAGACAACAAACATCTGTGATAGCCCGGATGCGAAGCGGAACTTTACCTTTAGAGATCGAAAAGGGCAGATTTCGAAATGTGCCACTTGACCAACGCCTATGTAAAATGTGCAAGTCTCATCCATAGAGGACGAATCCCATCTTTTGTTGTATTGTAAACGCTACGAACAATTGAGAACAACACTTTTCAATGACATCCAAAACAATTATTACATAGATTTAAATACGATACCAGCGCACATCATATTAAAACAATTATTTTGTAATTAAAGCAAGCTTGTTTCTAACTTTATTTTGAACTGTTTTACAATCAGACAATCTGTGTTCAATTGATATCGTGCCTTACTATATTTTCGTCTAAATTTGAACTATATCTATTTATTTATTTATTTTTATTTTCAATAATTGAAATATAATGTGTATCATATCATGACAGTGCATCATAAGCCTATTTGGCTGGCTGAAAATCACCTGTATATTTGAATGTAACTGTTTGTTATAATTCAGGTTGCACTTAATATGAAAATATTCATTCATTCATATAGATGATGTCTTCTCACTAAAAATTTGGTGACTGAGTTGAACGTATCTGTCCAATCGTATTAAAAATAAAGGATACAAGGATACAGCTAAAATAAATTTAAGAAGATGTGGAATGATTGCCAATGAGACAAACGTTCGTCAAAATTCAAATGAAGTTAATTTGATCAACCATTAACATTTTGGATCTGGAAAACTGTTGCAAAATCACTTAAATGCATATGTGACCTTAGAATGATTTTAATATGTTGGTCTGTTTTGGTTATATAGATCACCTCTACGTGTGCAAGTATCTAATGATTCTTATTTTCAACGTTAAAGGTTTGTGCGTTGTTGATTATGTAGACTGACAAAGACGCTATGAAATTTATAAAGTGTTATTTTCATTACATGCAAGATACCAAATACAACTTTTTATTCCAAGTCTGCAATTTTAGCCACAAAACCAGGTTCAACCCACCATTTTTTTCTTAAAATGTCCTGTACCAAGTCAGGAAAATGGCCCTTGTTATATTATAGTTCGTTTCTGTGTGTGTTACATTTTAATGTTGTGTTTCTGTTGTGTCGTAGTTCTCCTCTTATATTTGATGTGTTTCCCTCAGTTTTGGTTTGTAACCCGGATTTGTTTTTTTCTCAATCGATTTTATGAATTTCGAACAGCGGTATACTACTGTTGCCTTTATTTGTCGGTCCACCTTCCTTCAGATTGTATAATTGATTTTTTTCTTATACTCTTTCGTCCTAAAATGACACGTAGTTGTATTTTTGTCGGACCAAAAACTTCGTTAGTGTATATACAAGCTGCATAAATTAGACCCGGTGAACAAATATTGACTGTCCGAATAAGATTAGCAGAAATTGTTACTCCTATGGCTACTACAATGGTGATTGAAGTGGTTCAATGGGAGCATCTGTCAGATAATACTAAGAAGTGGAATATTGAAACTCAGGGAAAAAGTATTTAGGTATTTAGATTTTAAGCAAAGAAAAGCATTTAACGATCATTTGGCGCTAGAAATTTGCCCTTTGTTCTGTCTTCGATTAAAGTATTGATGCCTTGTGATGGAAAAAGATAACGATGTTTTATATCATTTATCTATTGTAGATTCAAGTGCAGAAGAATTGCATCAGATCAGACCACTCAAAATTAACGGAATTATTTATAAATTTCATTTAGATAGAGGAAACTCCAAAAATCATTCACATGCTGTATAATCTGAAGTATTTTGTGTTGTTGGACAATTTTGGGGCTTTTTATGATTCGAGCGTCCCTCATGGGTCTTGTTGTAGACAAAACGTACTTTTGGAGTCCACGATTTAAATCCTGGTATTTATGGTGAGTTTATCTATCTGATCTAAAAAGTGCAACACGCCACAGGGCAGTGTTTCTGCGAAGGTAAAAATAAATTGCCAATGAGACAACAATCCACTAGATATCTAAAGACTTGGATTTAGAGGTCCTTGTATGGTCATAAACAAAGAGCAAAACTTATACCGTGTAGTAAGCAATAAATATAAAAGGCAAAGACATGACAAAACGTAAAATAAATTAAAAATTAAAACTTCTTGACTTATGATTAAATAGTTAACCAAAACACATTTGACAGACAGCAACCAACAACAAACACTGACACACCGAAGAAGAAACTGCTAAAAAACAGTTTGAAAGGGATTGACTATTTAGATCGACACGTATATTTAAACGCAACTATCAAGAAGACAGAAGACACAAAGTACCGACCCAAGAGTACTTCCAGTGACTAAAAACTAGTTGAAAGCAAAATACAACTAATGACTATATCGAGTTTTCTAAGCTAATATCAGTCAGTACACTTATGGTAAAGACTTCATGAACCGACTTTAAAACGCTGACCTTATGAAATGCCAAAATATATAAATATCGATAAGATGTAGCACCATAAGTATTCCTAACTGTACTGCAATACATATTAAGTTATGTTTTTATCTATTTATAAAAAAATGATTGTTCAAATAAAATTATTATTGTGTTAAATTCATAAGCTAAGAATAATTACAGGATAAAAAAGTTTACATTTATGGTATCTGATATCATGGGCTCTACAAACTTAAACACGGATATCCCGTTGTAATAAGTTTTCCAAAGCTACAACCAAGTAGTTGTATCTTTGAAATGATTAAGTTAAAAGGTTTCAAGTTAAATTTTGGTAACGAAATCCCTGAATTATTACTTTATCATTTATATGGATAACGTTCATTGAAATCTAAAAGTCCCTGAACTTAGACTGGAATATGATAACTATTTTCCAGTATTTCCATTGGTTGATTGAGTTGAGCGTTTTGTTTTGTTTTTGTTTTTTTTTTAAAGTTTTATGGACTTTCCTTTTTTTAGTTTACCTTGGAGTTTGGTATTTCTGTTGATACATTTTACAGACATCGGCAAATAGGTATTTATTCAAAACATTTTCTTTCTAATAATATGTGTTTCAATAATACTTCATTCTGATTTGAAACAGTACATGTATATCATAGAGCAGAATCTCTTATACAACAGTTGATTGTAAACCGTTAAAGACATTAGCTAACCTGCAGATGTCGAATGCAGTCAGCTTGTGTTGTTTGATAATGCTAACTTCCTAAAATTTTGTTTTATTTGTAACTAAAAGATGTGAATATTTCAAATGTAATATAAATTGGCATATATAAAAGTACAAGCAAAAAAAGTCAAAAAATGCGCTAATCTGGTTATGTAGTATAACTTTTTCGCGATCCTGTCACACAAAATGTATGCATATAAGCTGTATTTAAATATAATCGAAAGAAGGGTTAACAAGTTTTATTCCGGCGAGATATTTTTCTTAGGACATATTTTCCCATACAGTTTTAAGCATTCCTGTCGAAAATTTCTATCCAAAACACAAAATACGATAGGATTGGATGCATTGTTAACAAAATATCCGCGCTTTATGATATCGAAGATTGGCCGGATACTGTTTTGATGCATCTTAGGATTCAATATTTGGACCATTTTCGTGATAACGTACAACATATTTCCTATGTAGGATACAGCGGTTGCTATCATGAGGCTTATGGTTAGTCGAATTGAATTTCCAAGATTGTGCGATGAACGAGTCGACTTTCTGTTTGCCCTGTCACAGGTTCCAGTTTGCAATTCATTTAATTTCACCGCTTCATTGTGAATAGTTGATGTTAATTGAGTGGTCCCCGACCTTATATCCGAAGTTGAATTCAAAGAAGAAACTGATTTCTTTCTGATTGATTTCCTCCATTCTTTTCGAGTACAAATTCCATGCAATATTTTTCCATATGAAAATATGCACATGACAACGCAAACTAAACCTATAAATGATACTATACTGTAATAAACACCTATATGACGTATATTTTGATAATCTGAAAAAAATCTGCATTCCTTGCCCATTAGACCAAAAATGTTTGTTTCATTTTTGTTTAGACCATAATATATTAATACTGGGATTGACAATATCATGGATACTCCTACCAGAACAGCAGATATAACATTCGACCTTTGTGAATTTGTAATTAGTATCGGTAAGTTTTTGACAAATATTCTATATCTTTCAATGGCAATTGTAGTCAATAATAAGCTGGAGGCCCCTGTTACAACGTGATTTAGAAATTTGAAGAATTTGCAAGCACCTTCAGATGAAAATGTGTAGTCGTATCGCATATCAAAAATCTCAAAAGGCATACAAAATACACTTGCTGTAAGATCGATAAAGGCAAGCCAAATGATAAAAACTCGAACGGAATACTTTGCCATGATCGGTGATAATATATATACTAATATCGTGTGTATATTTCCAATTGTACCTATTACTGACAGAAATATAAGGAATAGTGCAGTTGGGATATCTTTTTCTATAAATCCTTGGTATTCTATTTCCCTCAAATTTGTATGCGTTCCGTTTGTGGAATTGGATGCCATTCTGAAAATGATAAAATAAAAATGAAATGCAAATGTTTCATTTTGTTTTATTGTAACACCATGGATGAATGAACGTTAGTTTTTATGATAAAATTGAGAATGGAAATGGGGAATGTGTCAAAGAGACAACAACCCGACCACAGAACAGACAACAGCAGAAGGCCACCAACAGGTCTTCAATGCAGCGAGAAATTCCCGCACCCGGAGGCGTCCTTCAGCTGGCCCCTAAACAAATATATATACTAGTTCAGTGATAATGAACGCCATACTAAACTCCAAATTGTACACAAGAAACTAAAATTAAAAATAATACAAGACTAAGAAAGGCTAGAGGCTCCTGACTTGGGACAGGCGCAAAAATGCGGCGGGGTTAAACATGTTTATGAGATCTCAACCCTCCCCCTATACCTCTAGCCAATGTAGAAAAGTAAACGCATAACAATACGCACATTAAAATTCAGTTCAAGAGAAGTCCGAGTCTGATGTCAGAAGATGTAACCAAAGAAAATAAACAAAATGACAATGATACATAAATAACAACAGACTACTAGCAGTTAACTGACATGCCAGCTCCAGACTTCAATTAAACTGATTGAAAGATTATGTCTTCATCATATGAATATCAGGCACAATCCTTCCTGTTAGGGGTTTAGTATCATACCATCATAACATATATGAGAAGAACATAACCCGTGTCATGCCAACAACTGGTTTTTAAATGAATGTGTTTAGTGCCGATGCAAAGACCCTATAAGTGAATCAATATTAACGCCAAAATATGCAATCTTTAATGACCTGACAACACTATCGTAACTATATCCCTTCTTAATAAGTCTATTTAAAGGTTTTGTTAGTTTCAGAGGTGAATACTGACATTTTTGTGCTTTATAAAGAATATTTCCATAAAAAATTGGATGTGAAATACCTGAACGTATAAGAAGTCTGCATGTTGAGCTATATTTACGAATGATGTCCTTATATCGATGATAAAATTTAGTAAATGTTTTGACTAGTTTGTGATATCGAAAACCCTGGTGTAATAATTTTTCAGTAATACATAAATTTCTCTCGTTAAAATCTAAAACATTGTTACATACACGAGCGAATCGTACAAGTTGAGATATATAAACACCGTAAGATGGTGACAAGGGAACGTCACCATCTAAAAATGGATAATTAACGTTAGGAAATGAAAAATCATCTCTTTTATCATATATTTTAGTATTAAGCTTTCCGTTAATGATATAGATATCAAGATCGAGGAAAGGGCAGTGGTCATTGTTAGTATTAGCTTTATTTAAAGTAAGTTCAACAGGATAAATTTCTTTAGTATACATACTGAAGTTGTCATTATTGAGAGCCAAAATATCATCCAAATATCTAAAAGTATTATTAAATTTGTGTATCAGACCTATTTTCGTCGAACTAGGTTAGATATAAATAAGAAGATTTGGTATGAGTGCCAATGAGACAACTCTCCATCCAAGTAACAATGTATATAAAGTTAACAATTATAGGTCAAGGCACGGCCTTCAACACGTAGTCTTGACTCACACAGAACAGCAAGCTATAACGGACCCCAAAATGACTAGTGTAAAACAATTCAAACAGGAAAACCAACGGTCAAATCTATATAAAAAACGAAATCGAGAAACACCTCTGAACCACACTAACAAACGAAACCTGTTTAAGATTTGTGTGCATATATCTCATTAGCCTACTTAGGGTGCGTTCGAAATATGTATGTGAGATATCTCTGATTACCAAAAGGTACCTAAGGAAAACTATCGTTGAAAACTGTTCAATATAAATCTGATCAGAGTTGACCTTTTGTATCCAGTCTTTACACAGCTTCTTATCAGTTTACTGTCTATAGTTACATTTAATCAAATCAGATCGACGGGTAGTTATTCAGTCGGTTTTATACTTGTCGAACACACAGTAACCTTATTCAGACTCTGATGGATATTTGTCCCATTGTCAATGATACCACATCTTCTTATTTTTATATAGATTTGAAGGTAAATAATAAACAAAACATCAAACACATCGCAATGAATTTCTACATTCTTAGAAAAATATGAACTTTCTGTTCCATTAGTAGCACCCGTCGATTTAATATTTAATAATTTTTAGTAAACCAAAATCTTCTTAAAATATTATAATAGTCGCGTACGATGAAATCAAAATATCTAGTAGAATGTATCACTTCAAATGTAAATTATAATATTACTTTTGTTTACTAACGATGAAGACAGTGATGTTTTATCAAGTATTCGCTTACTTATTCAATCAAGTTTTGTTACCAATGTGACATAGGATTAAGTATTCTAATGAAGCATTTCAAACATACCTGAATAGTTCTTCCTTATTTTGTTTCCTGTTTGTTTATTATACTTTTATATGTAAAACTAGTTTAACTGATATTTTTCTAATTTTGAATAAAATGCTATGCTAATTATTGCTATAAATCCCATTTACACACGAAGTTAACTGTCTCGTCTGCCTGTACATTTGTCTTATGATCAAACAATGTTTCTGGAAGAAATATCCAATTAAGTAGAATGCGTAAAGCGTTTAAGTCAGTAAGGGAAAAAGTTGGATAAAACATAGTTTGATATTTGTTTTAGCGTTCTAGATGAATGTAAATTCAGTAATGTGCTTCGGGCGCACGAAATAAAAAGACAATCTTATTTTCAAGTTAAACCCGGATACCATAACAGTCTGTACGAGGCAAATGATAAAACAAATAGCCAACAGTTACCAACCCTTCCCAACATGCCAGCGACAGTCATGTTTCCACATTTATACTTCCTGTCTACGTTTGTATTGCTAATATAACTCGTCTTATTGATAATGTTTTCGTCCTGAAAATGCAACAATATTCCTTACTCGACATTCAGCATGACTATTGGAAATACATCTTAGTGAGATACCGTCGAGAACATTTGTACAAAATTACCTCGAATGACAGATACCTATATTCACATCAATACATGTATTTTATTGCAATTCTAATTAAAAAAATAGAATCTTGACTCTAGATTTTAAAACAAATCAAAGGTGACCTTCTGCTGTTGTCTGTTCTATGGTCGGGTTGTTGTCTCTTTGACACATTCCCCATTTCCATTCTCAATTTTAATTTTACTTTAAATACAGTTACCAACAGGAAAACATTCTAGATGAATAACATGTGCATAGTTAAAATAAATGTTCATGCTAATTTCGAATATTCGTTTTATTAACGAGCCCGTTAAGATGAGTCTGATTTTTGATGTTGTAACTCATATTTAGGAACTTAGTCCACAGCATGACGATATTAGTCCTAAAAACACACATCATTCTAAAACCAAAACAACTAGAATTAGAACTAGAATTGCCATAGCAGATGTCACCCTGGTCTGCTTATTGCCACTAAACGGCAGCCATTTTGAAATAAGGGTACATTGAATAAAAATAATATCATATGCATCACAAGACATCATTCAGTGAAGTTTCAAAAAGTTTAAGGCATGTTGAAAATTTTCTCATTTGAACTGCTTCTATGGCAACGGCGGCCATTTTGAAAGTTCCAAAGATGGATTGTATGTCTTCACATACCAAGTAACATTTCCACAAAATTTCATTCAATTTGGAAGACTTTCCGATTTTTCACATTCTTTCTGTTTCCATGACAACGGCAGCCATCGTGGAAATGCCAACCCCCGATTGCACATCTACACATGGGGGCACACATTATGGTAAAGTTCCATCATCATTGGTCCATACATTTCCGAGAAATAGTCTGGACAACAAAGTGTGGAATAATAATAAAGATTGCTAGATTTGCCATTGCAAGCAATAGCGGATGGCACCCTTCCCACATTGCCACTAAACTGCAGCCATTTTGAAAATTTGAAACAGTATTTACACATAAATACATTGCAACATATTTGTTTGTAAATTTTAAGAAAGTTTTGAGCATTTTTTCAATTTTCACATTTTTGCAGTTTCCATGGCAACGGCGTCCATTTTGGAAATTCCAAAGTTCAAAGTCTTATCTTTACTTACCATTCACCATTTATAATGAGTTTCATTAAGTTTGGAGCATTTTGAGATTTTTGGACATTTTTGCTGTTTCCATGGTAACGGTGTGCATTTCGAAAATTCCAACAACACTTTCAACTTGATTAAATTGCTATGTTATATATTCATGAAATTTGTTTCAATTTGATCTTTATTCCTTAAAAAAATGCTGCTTTGATGTTTTTTTCCCATAGGATCAATGTTAAAATTTTCTCAAGTTTCCATGGCAATGGCAGCCATTTTGAAAATTCCTAGTACTGTTGGTACCTCAGGGCACCACTACCAACATTTACATAAACTTTCAAGAGGTTGCCTCTTATAACGAAAGATTTAGAATTTTAATTTTTTTTTTACATTTTAGCAGTTTCAATGGTAACGGCGGCCACTTTGAACCATTCCAATGTCTCTTGCACAACTTCACATGGCGGTTCATATTATGGTATAGTTCCATCAACATGGGTCTGACCAATCCCGAGAAATAGCATGGACAAAATGTGTGGAAGAATAAAAAGAAAAAAAAAAAAAAAGACACGAACAATTACAATATGTCACCCCAACTCCGTTGAGGGTGCCATAAATAAATAAAAAAAAAGAATGGAACAATAACAATATGTCACCCGACCTCCGTCAGGGTGACATAATTCATGTCAATTTGAACAGCTTAACAGCCGTTCGCTGCGTTATTATATATAAAACAGCAAATAGCTGTTTCTAAGTTTTTGCTTCTTGTCGCAAATCAAATCTTTGGCCTCCTGCACTCAGAGGTGACCACGCTACCAAACCCATCAAAGTGATGAGTGTTCAACTACGATAAATCTATAAACCGGACATAATACCACAACTTTTTTTAGATTTCAAGATTTCAAGATTTTATTTAAAAGCAACGCTCGGACACACATATGTTTAACATGAGGTAAATATTCAATAATAAACATGAAATATAATACAATAAACAGTTAATAAACATATATATATACAAAACATTATACTTATCACAATAATTTATTTAGGTTTCTAATAAAAGATGCCATCTGTCTATATAATTTAACCTTGCAATAAGATAAAATGACTGCTAATTTCTGCTTACTTGGATATTTCGTATAATAACTAGGAATCATTTTTTCTCTGATATTATACAGATGAAGAGATTTACAGATAAAAAGATAGTGAAATTCGTCTCCTACCTTTTCTTTACATAAATTACATTTTAGGTCCTCCGCAGGAATAGTATGCCAACGCCCAGTTTCAATAGGAATTTTTAAGTAGGATGTTCTTAATTTTGTCAGCCAGATTATAAGTTAGATGTATTTGATATAACCATGTCAGTACTTGGAAACAAAAAACAATGAATCGACCGAAACTTATTGTTAAAATTATTTCCTTGTTCCTTTATTTCGTTAAAAAAAGATTTTGACCACTTAAAGTCCGCCAATTTAAAGCATAACACATTGTTTCCCCATTTTCAATTGTATTTCAAGTGCATGACAATGAACTTTGAAAAGATCAGTTCCAAATAAGCTTTTACTTTAGGAAATCATCAAGAACAGATGTGCCATAAAAAAGTTGTAATAACTTCCTATTAAAGTATCTGTTTTTTTTTTTTTGTATATCTATTTCAGACAGAAATTTTATTTTACGATTTTATTACATGTAATGATACCTCAACTGAACATTCTTAAAATAGTAACAATCAACATTTCTTCACTATATGTACAAGATATGTATCCATAGTCCAAATATATTTGTGTCCATTCTTGTTAAGTTTAGAGAAAACTAAAGCTCGTTTTAAATCAATAAGCTTTGTCATTAATTACTGATAAATTCATAATATTGTCTCCTGTTCCTGCATACTCATAGAAAATGATTTCGTTTTTCATTTTTAACTAGATTTAGTCATGGCTCTGATATATAAAAGAGGCAAAAGATACCAAGGGGACTTATCGAAATGAACATGTGAATAAGACTAATATGCATGTTTGTTTTCCTACATTAGTAACAGCGTCGCCTAGATTACTTTAAATAACATTATTGTGATAATTCCTTTACAATGATATTAAAGATCATAGTTAGTTTAGTTTATAAATCAATTCAATTTCATATTGTGTATTATGTTTGTTAAAAGTTAGAACATTGTTGTGACGTCATTCTATTGTTGTGCCCGTTCTTTATTTCAGTGATTGGACTATCATTTACCTGTAAGAAACCATTATGTTACCTTTAACCGTCCAATATTTTTAAGAATAGCCCTCCTCTTTCTTAAAAATATTGGACAACTGAAGGTAGCATAACTGATTCTTACGGGTAAATTATAGTCCAATCACAAAAGAAGAAAAATTATCTTCATGTGGAAAAAAATACAACCAAAGAACAAATGACAATTACAAAAAAAAACTTTTATTAGTGTCACTCTCCAATACAATAATTTTTTCACTCATCAAAACGGTTTCTCGAGAAAAAAATCCCTTTCAAATTGATTTTAACACTACCAATACTTATATCACAGCCATTTTTCTCATGTTTTGGGTTGTCTCCTTTAGCACTAATTCAGTTGGTTGATAAAGCTTGTTATAAGTCTTATTTTTTTTTTTTGCTTTTATGTATTTCTTTGTTCAAAAGATTTATCCTCGTCCGTCTTTGGTTTCAAAATTGACCTCTGGTGTTGCTCTTATTCTTCCTGACATCATTTTCAGCTACAATTAAAATGAAAAACAAATAACGTAATGCTTCTAACGTTTGATAGCTCATGCGGCAATACAAGGACCATAAACAACCTAAACCTCACCCTGTGTACAAAGTGCAAAACTAGAACTTGCTTCATGAACTAGGGGACTTCAATAGTTTTTATAATTTTCAATTCGGCGTTGATTTACAAGTTGTTGTTTTTTAAGTCTCATATTGTTGCTTGAATATGAATATAATGCAACAATTCGCTTATGAACAACAATGAATATGGGAAGCAGAATAAACAAATCAATCGTGTGCCCGATTCGCACTTTGTTAGTAGTGATCGTTTTATATTATAAAAGAAAATTAGAGAGTTTTTTTTGCAAAAGGAAATCGAGAGACAAAATTATGATTCGGTAACATTAAAAAATACCACAAGGGACATCAATACACAAATAAACGAAAAAAGAGCGACACGACCTTGCAGAAAAAAAAACAGAAAAAAGTGGTGATATTCAGGTGGTACCGTTTTGGTAAACAATAACATCTCTTGAAAATTCCGATGAACAACAAAACAATTTAAAATTATTTTTCATTTGTTCATATTAATTATATATTTGAAATAAAATCGAATGCGGTGCACTCAATATGGTTCAATGTGAACCTGTCTTCACATGTTTTTCTTTTTTTTCTCATTCACCTAGTAAGAAATAAAACCCCAAAAGAAACAAGAAACTAATAGGAGAGGACTACATTTTGAAATATAATAAATATAAAACTTGCCATTATTAGCTGCTTTAACTATATCCTTTTTGTTGTCCAGACTGAAATCGAATATATATAAATACACATTTGATTTTAATCCAAAGTTTGAAACAACACAATCACTGATAACGACATCACTTTCTTCGTTTTTTGCATTAAGAATATACTTTCATCGTCTTTATCCATTTTGAAACACAAAACGCATGTAAAGTTATTCAAGGAAATTATTTAGAGTAGTCCTTGCGCACGCAAAAATCATGATACGCATACGCTGTATCTTTATCTTCATGTAGCAATACATATTACATGTTGTTTACCTTCAGCTGTACTTTCTTTTTGTCTATTGTTTAAGTTGAGCTACTGTTTAAAGGGGCCAACATGTAGGATAAATTTTAATGTGAAGCAAGTTTATTCACAAAACAATTTTCACACTTGATGAAAATAAATCTTACTAAAAGTTTGAATTTGCTTGCATTTTGTCACCTTTTAAACAATGTTTTTAAGTAAGATATTAGCCTCTAACAGTCCATTCTGCGGCCTCAGACCTGTCCAATATTTTACAGAATGGACTGTTATCGGCTTATATCCTTTACATAAAGGTGTAATCAATATTTATTCGCTCAGTAATTCGGAATTTTGAGTCCTCAATGCTATTAAACTTCTTATTTTATTTTTCACTTTTAATTTTTTTTATTTGATCGTCACTGATGAGTCTTTTGTTGTACACAATTTTAATCCTGGTATTTATGATGAGTTTAATTCAATCACATATGTTACTGCTCGATTATTTGTAATTTTTGATATAGGACTAGGAAATCGAATTTAGCATTACAAACATACCTGAATAGAACTTTTAAATTCTTTTTTTTTTTTCTGGATGCTTACAGCTGTATATGCTACTTCATATGACAATGTGTTTACCCTATTTGTTGTGTCTATATTTCAAAAATATTGATATAACTGATTTATCAATCGTATGACTACACGCCTTTTAAAAAAAAATATCCAATGAAAATTTTTTTTCCTGTTCTTCGTTAAAAGAGTGTTTTCGAACAATTCGTGTCCGGTGATTTAAAAGATATCAAATTGTTTTCGCGATTCTTTAAGCTATAAGTGAATTTGAAGTGCCAGGCAATGTAATCGGGAAAAACTAGTTAAAATATGCAGTAAATTCAGAAAAAAAGTAAAACAAACAATGCAAACAATCCTTGCAATAGCTTCCTTATTAAAGTTTATTGTATTGTTGCATTATCTATATCAGAAAGTGACTTTATTTCACAATTTAAATCCATGTTATGATTTCTACAAAAATATATAAATAAGTATTTGTCCGTGTCAATTTTTAGTTGCTTCCGTTCGTTTTTCGTTGTGCAAAATAAAAATGTCTAAAACAAAAACTCAATGTGTTATTGATTCTTGTTGTTGAAAACAAAATACGAAGAATTATTTCTTTATATCATAACACAGAAGACGATAAAAAGTCAACTTGGCACGTCGATTCTCAGTTTTAGCCACTTAAAAAGTAGGAATGTCGTCAAGCGTCATCAGTTGGAGAGTTATATCTGATAATTGAATTTATCAGATCTTTTTCCTGCATATTTAAAGAAAATAAGAAGTGTTCTTTTTTTTTAACTAAAATTATTATTGATATCGACATATGTGAAGTTGGCAGCATAGATAGTTTTACTTATCAATTTAGATAAGAAACTTTTGTGATATCAAACAAAAACTTTCCAATTATCTTTTGTTCCCCTTTAATAATAATAAAATAAACAAATGTTTGAACTAAATTGACGGAAGGAATCTAAAATCGAAAATAAACTATGTTAGATTTAAAACGCAATTTTTTTTAGTAATAAATTGCATTTTTATGGGATAGGAAAATTATCCATTTAGCATGTTTAGTTTGATTAAGGAAGATTTTGAAACAAGGAAAGAGGAGATGATGAACAAAAATGAGACACAAGATTAAATTTAAAACTCATAAGTTTTAGACAAACTGAAATTGCCATGATATAAAAAAACGAAAAACAAATTGCAAGTGTGCGTCAAAACTATAAAGGGTCCCGGTGACCAAGTGGTCTTTGAAGTAGAACTTCTGTATCACTAGCCTGTCAACACTGCGGATGTGAGTTCGAATCCCGCACGTGGCAGGTGTGTTCGACACCAATCTTAATTGACTAGGATTGGGGTTTTTTATCCGTATTATATAATATTTAAGATGATATCAATAGTAAAGTCAATCCATTACGTGCAGTCACATTTTACATTATTTTTGTGTGTAAAGACCACTATAAGCCAAATCAGTTTGTAAATCATTGCACACATTATATCAAAGTACATTTATTTCTTCTATATTTAACTTTTTGGAAACTTTATATCTAACATATACTTGTTCAATTTCCATAGCCAAAAATTTGAAACACAGATTTGAACAGATTTGAAAGAAAAGCTGAAAAGTAATTTCAAGTTAAAAATAATTATACAAATAAACACAATCACCAAAGTCATAACAATAGGCCGTCAAATAATCAGCAAATCATATTTTTCTTTTTAATTCTGTATTAAAGCAAGATTTGTGAAACGAATATTGGATATTGACAAGTTCAAATGTGGTATCATTTTGTATCAATGCTTCCCTTAATAGAAATAGAATGGAAATACGGTATACATGTCGATGAGACAACCCTAAAAGAGGCAAAATGAGAAAATGAGAAATTAGTTATTCAAGGGTGAATTGTAGTGTGAACTATATGATGATCTTTAAATGTCTCTAAACTTAACGCCTATCTTTCTGCATTGAAATGCAGTACCAGCATGTTTTTAGCACCACGACATATGGTTTAGATGTGTTTTAGACAAAAGTACAGTCAATGAAATAAATATAAAATACTGCAAGATGCATATTCAAATTGTACACTGGGATTAAGGGGGAAATAGCGTTTGGTTAATTGTCATAGAGAACGCAGGTTTTTGCGGTGATTCACTATAGAATATATATATATATATGTATATTATATAGGTAGTGTATGACTGGACATATATTAGCGAGTAAACACTGCGAAGCGCCAGCAATAACAAGAATGACTGGGACATATATTAGCGAGTTAACACTGCGAAGCGCCAGCAGTAACAAGAATTTTTTTACCTATGTACTTATCATAGAAATCTGAATTGTTATATTGTGGTTTTTTCAAAGTCTCACAGAAATGGAGGTTTGGATGGGGTTAAACGAAGAGAAAATAATTTGCAAAATAAATTATAGAGAATAAATCCCTAAAATAATTTTTGATCATCTGTCTGTTGCTCAGTCTAGATTTTATGAACTTTACCGCATTGATGTCCTTTCATACAGGTTTATATTATTTTGCAAGTACACAAGTTATCAAATGGGCAACTATACCAAAAAAGGAGTTGAACACATATAATAGTCGATGTGTGAATCCGAAGATGACTTGCTTTCGATGCATATAGTGAAGTAAACTAAGTACTATCATTTCATTGGATAATTCTTAATACAAGGTATGATAAGTGCTGTAACTTATTCGTCAGTGGCAATCGAATGTAATAATTTCCACTCATTGAGCATCCTTTTTATTCGACTCTTCTTGTTTTAGTCCTGTATATATATATGTTATATTTCCTATTGGACTTCAGAATTGATATGAATATATTTCTTTGATTTACCTCGCGAGCAAAAATATTTGCTATTTACAAGGCGATTTCAGATGTTAAAGAATGAGTAAACAGGTTTATATTTGATTATATCACTTTCAACAAATATAAATCCCATTAACAAATAACTGAACATTACATTGATTTAACCCCGCCACATTCTGTATGTGCCAGTCCCAAGTCAGGAGCCTGCAATTCAGTGGTTGTCGTTTGTTGCTGTGTAACAAACTTGTTTTTTGTTCATTATTTTGTACAAAAATTAGGCTTTGTTCATTGTTGAAGGCCGTACAGTGACCTATAGTTGTTAATTTCTGTGTCATTTGGTCTCTTATGGAGAGTTGTCTTATTGGCAATCATACCACATCTTCTTATTTTAATAATTACAAATATATTATACGTGTATAAAATTTAACAGATACATACGTAAAGTAAAAGTAATGTGGCATGGCAGGATATCTGCATCAACATGAATACGGTATATTAAAGGCATGTTAACAAAATCAATTTACCTTAATAAGTTTACTTATACGCACATCATGCTCGATAGAGGAGATTTTTTAAAATCACATTTATTTATATGTTCTATTCTCCTTTAGTAACGATAACAATCTCCCGTCTTTATACTTGTTACGCAAACTACCAAATAACCATTATAAAGAACAATATATAGCCGAGTTTTCAGACTCTATTACTAAACATCTTTCTGAAGTTTTCCCCACCATCCTTTCTACAACTAGAGGCTCTTGGGAGGCTGTGTCGCTCACCTGCATCTTCAACAATGGCCACTTTTTTAGCAAAAATCTTCATTAAAGGAGAATAACTTTGTTAAGAGTTAACTGACATTTTCAGTCATGTT